ATTTTTTCTACTTAGTATTGGCTGCTACTAGCCAGTTATTAGTAGGTTGAGATGTAGTAGGAATAGGGGAGATCTGGAGAACATGTAGTTGGTTGAGGTGAGTAATAGTGGTATTGTGGCGTATATGAATCTGGCTATTCATTTTAAGTAAGTATTTGGCTTGTCTTATAATGTTGCCAAGTTTTTTAAGGCTGTAGTGAAGTTGTGTGGCTTTGAGAGAGAAGGTGTGGTTAAAGTTGTGAACTGTGAATTTCTGGTTAGATATGTACTGGAGTGCTGTAGTAATAATACTAGTTTGAATCTTATACTAGGTGGTTACAAAAGTTTTTGAAGTTATAGTAGAAGAGAGTACATAGTGCTATTGTAAATTAGCATTAACTTGGTTAGTAAAGTTTTTATATCTTTCTTTGTCTATGCATTTATAGTTAAAGATTCTTCTCTTAGTCCAAGTTTTGTGCCTAGATTGTCTAGTTGTAGCAAAGGGGAAAAGCTAGCAAGAGATTAAGATTTTGTAATTACTTAAGATACTGGTGTTTGAGTCATCAGTATTGTAGTCTGTAAGATATTGAAGGATTGGTTGGTAAACCCAGATATAGTCGATTTCACTACTGAGGTTGGCTCTGTGTTATATAAGAGCTGATCTGTGGAAGTGTGAGGCAGGTTATACATATTATTATATATTAGATATTGGAGAAGCTTGTATTTGATTGACTGTAAGAGGATATTGTCTGTAGAGGCAGTGAAGTCTTCTAGCATGATTGGGGGAATGTTTTGAGCTGTTGCTTGTTGTAACCATTGGGTGATAGTGTTCTGTATTAGCAATCTGAGTTGTGTATCATTGCTTGGCAAATAGAGAGAGATAATGTGAAATTTGAAGTTGTTTTTGAAAAAAAAATCAATTGCTATAGCATGGCCTGGAACTGTAAAGATTTTGTGAATGTGAGGAGATAATTGGTTGCAGATTAAAATGGCTGTTCTGGCTTGAGAGCTATTAGTATATGATCAGAGATAGGTATAATAAAGCATTTTGCTTTGCTTATGATATATGGTTTCTTGAGAGAGTTTGGTCTCTGTTAAACTGATGATATTAAGGTTGTGCTATATATAGTAGTTTTCCCATACTTCTTTTTTGATATTTGTATTAAGTCCTTGTACGTTGTGTGTACATATAGAGAGTGTGAGAGGGTGAAGTGTGCTGCTAGTAGTTGGATCAAGAGAGTTAGTCATAGAAGTGTTTATTGGTGTCCATTGGTAGTGTTCTGTCCAATAGAGGGTTGTTGCTTGTTTCTGTAAAAGCTGTATCAGTGATGTCTTAAGTGGCTTCATTAGTGGAGGTTGTAGTAGGTGGTACTGAGGGGAGAATGTTGTCTGGAATAGGAGCCAAACTAGCATAGAATAGGACAGTACTAGGGGTGTTAGAATGTGATGCTCTGTCTGGGTTGTCAAATATACTCTAGTTAGAGATAGGAAGAGGTGGGAGTTTGAGTAGAGTGTTGGGTATTGTTTTGATAGTGTAGAATTGCCTTAATTTTTTCATTGTTAGGGTGACCTCAGTTTGTTGTTGGATTGGGAGTGAAACAATAATCTCTTGTTTAGTGAGTGTCTCAATGATCTCCTCTATGTTATTGGGGATAGAGGAAAGTATATTAGTAGTTGTATTGGAGTTGTTGGTATTGGCGTTGGTGGGGAGGTTGCTGTCAATTTTGATCCAACTAGCAGGAAGTTGGGTAAAGTAAAAATGCTTGCAAAGAAGTTTGGCTATATCTTTAAGTTGTTGTATAGTTGTAATTGGTAAGCTGATATTAAAGTATTCTGTTATTTTTTCAGCTGTAAGGAGGATAGATTTGTCGGTAGGATTTGCTTTTATAATTTCTGGTAGAAGTGAAAATTGGATTCTGTAGTAGGGGGAGGTTTGTTTAAAGAATTCTCTAGCTACTGTGTCATTTGTTATAGGGTAGGTAAATTCTGTTTTAGTTTTGATTTTACTAGTATCTTTTGGTAGAGGGGCTTTGTAACAAAATAGTCATTAGGAAGTAATTTGAAGGTATAATATTGTCTTAGCTGAGCAATAATCTTGGTAAGTAAGATAGCTAAGGTGGCTGGGTTAAATGAAAAAAATTTATAGACTTTGTGGTTAAGTTCCTGGTAGGTGGTAGAAAGAGGTTTTTTTGGAGGTGATAAGTTAAAATAGAAGTTAGGAATTTGAGTTACGATGTAAAAATCTGCTAGTCTTTTCTTGTATGCCACAAGGTGCTAGAGTAAAGATCGGTGAGTGATGGGGAATAGTTGATGCAGACTGGGTATAAGTTTATTGTAGTGTGGAGGTAGTAGGGGAAGCTTGATAAAGTATGCCTCTGGAAGTTCAGAGAATTTAAAGACTCTTCGCAAAGCAATTATGACTACTCTAGTATATAATTTTTGGGTAATTAGTAGTCTAAAAGGTAGAACTTCACAGATTTATTTAGGTATCTGGTCTGGGAAATCTGGTAGTGGGATAAGCCTATCTTCGATTGCCTTGTTAATTTGTAACTTGATTTTTTTGTATGTGTCATCACTTAAGTTCTTAATTTGTAAAAAGCCTCTGGTATATATAATAGCCCTGACTATAAGTCTGGAAGGTGTTTAGTTTAGGTTGATGTTTGTAAGGTACTGCAAGATAAGCATCTTTCTAAGCATGGTGTGAATTGTATTGCAGGTCGTAGTGTTGGTTAGTGTAATTTTATTTTCTTTTTTGTATATTGCTAGAGCATTGTCAAAGAGATTAGTATATTTTTTTTGGTAAGTAGAGGTGGTTTTGAGATTGCAGGTAAATGTAGTAAAGAATCTGGTATTGAAGTAGTTAGATTTAAGTACAATTGCATCTGGAAGTCTGAATATGGTATAGGATATGATTAGTTTGTAGCTGATAAGACTGTGGATTTCTGCAAGAGTCTTGAGAGCTGTGGCAATTCTATCATATGTCCACAGGTCAGTATTGAATGGTATAATAGTAGGAACTATAATTTTGTTGTAAATGATTATAGCCTATTCTATATCATTTGGGGCATTAATGGCAAGAAGCTTGAGGTTAGTTTGGGTAACTTGACTATATGTAGGTTTGGAGGAGGAGGGCTGATTATTAGAAAAGGGTCTAGAGATGCTGCCAGTAGCAGATTTAGTGGCCTTATTTGGAGCTATAATAAGCAGTAATACATTGTTTCTGAGCCTCTTGCAGTTGGTATTGGCACTGGTTGTAGTAGCTAAGTTAGTTGTATTGGGGCTGGTTGCCATGCTTGTTGGTAATGTGATTTGGTTAGTAGGTGTGCTAGGTCTGGCTAAAATAGATTTGTCTGTACGGCTAGTAATAGGGTTGCTAGTATTAGCTATGCTAGTTGTAGCCGGAGTAGATGTATCTGTGTTGTTGGTAGTATCTGTGGGGGCCATGTTTGTGCTTGTGAAGGTGTGTACTGACACATAGAGGGGTTGTGAAGTATGTGATATCTTCTATATTGTCCTTGTTTAATTCATTGTCAGATTCTATTTGTTTAATAGTATTGTACAGGATTCTGGGCAAGTCAGAGATGCTTTTGGCCTTAGTGTAAGGTTTCATGCTACTTTCGTAGGCATTTGTAATAGTTGTAAAGTCACAGTTGCAAGTGGATTTAGAATATTTGGTGCTAATATTTACAATGTTGTTTTTTTGTATAGTGAGATTAAATAGGATTGATTGGGTAGAGTTGTTATGTTTACATATCCATTGTGGTGGGTAATTAACTAAATTTGGAATCTTGCCAGATTTGGTAATATCGATATAGAAGAGAAAGTCGCGGTATACTCGAGAATAGAGAAGCTAACAGTAAAAGAGGATTTGGACCAGTCTTTGATAGTAATTTTGACAAAACATTTTGTGTGTTCTATTTCTAAGGTTGGCAGCTAGGTGGTAGCAGGAGTATTTTCTAGTTGTGCAGATTTGCAGAATATAAAAAAATAGCCAAAGAAGCCAGAAGAGTTTTCAGAAGTCATGTTTTTAGGAGAGGGCTGAGGCTTAGCAAGGTAGGTAGGTTGATTGATGCTTTTTGATATTTTGGTGCAAAAGGTTAATAGTACTTTGCTTTGGTTGTTTGAATATTGGGGATCCTTAAGATTGCTTTTGTGGGAGAGTGAAAAAACTAGTTTTTTACTGTTTGAGATATTTATTGCTAATAACTTGGTGGGGTAAAGGCTTTTCTAAAAAAAAAGTGCACCTCTTTTAGGTGCTTTTATAGATGCTAAGTAACTTTACTTAGAAGCCAGGTATCAATTTACTTAGCAGGTTTTTGAGATATTGTCATAGGAAACTTTTTTCTTCTTGTTCCTTTTTGGTAAAAGTGATCTACAGGAAGAGTTCTTTTTTTTTTTTAATAGAGTATATTTATATGACTTAGATATTTTATTATTTAGATAAAAAAAAATTATTAAAAAATCTGTAAATCATAAGGAAAACAAAACAAACAAAATCCTAAAACTGCCTACGAACTAATTATAAAAAAAATTATAACTAGACTACTGCCAGAAGGCAAATAAATATTACCAAGTGCCCCGGGAATATCCACCAGCTGAAAAGAGATAGAGACACACTTCTTGCTACTCCAGAATCCTTCGAACCCTTCCTCATTCCATCAATAATAAGCACGGCACTGATGGACCCTGCCGGGACCTCAGACGCCCAGAACATTACAGTATACCCAAACACTCCAAATAACCCACCCTCAAAAAAGGAAGAAAACTGTACAAGACGAAACTCTGTTCAACTCAACTACTACCTCCCCACCTCTTGACTCACAAAATTCTAACAAAAGTGGGCTTCCCAGTTTACCCCCAACAATTATCCAAATGACGTCATCCCATCAAAACAACAACAACAATAACCAAATACAACTGATTCCCACGCCCCAACCCGAACCAGCACCGATCAATGAAATTAACAACAACCAAATACAGATAATTCTCACGCCCCAGTCAGTACCCATGATGATCAACAATCAAAACACAACTGAACCCCGGCCGAGCCTCCTTAACAACCTGGTAGCCTCTTCAACCCTGGAAGGTACCCCAGACGAAACCCAAAACAACTCAGCAGACCTCAACCCTGAGAACATGAAACACAATCCAATGCCACAGTCGAATCCCTTCTAGCCAAGAAATCATATAGCAATGCACTTACCTTCAACTTACCCAAACACTCACTCCAAAACAACAAATCGGGTACCTGGGTTAATTCAGTCTCTCTGGCATTAGCCAAAG